GGTGATGGTGATGGAAGTGATGGTGGTGATGATGGTAATGGTGATGGTGGATGTGGTGATGGTGGAAGTGTTGTTGGTGATGGTGGTGGTGGTGATGGAAGAGGTGGTGGTGATGGCGGTGATGGTGATGGAAGTGATGGTGGTGATGGTGGTGGTGGTGATGGAAGAGGTGGTGGTGATGGTGGTCGTGGTGATGGAAGTGATGATAGTGGTGGTGATGGTGTTGATGGAGGTGGTGGTGGTGGTGGTGATGATAGAAGTGGTGGTGGTGATGGACATGGTGGTGATGGCGGTGATGGTGATGGTAGTGGTGGTGACAGTGATGGATGTGATGGAGGCTAAACTTTTTGAACACTCACTGTTCAAGCACTATGCTCAATGCTTCACAGAATCTCCTTGAAGCCTGACAAACGTTTGAGATAACAGTCCCATGTTGCTGATGAAGAAACTGAAATTCAGAACTGGACTAAGTTTTTACATAGTCAAGAATTAGACTCCAGAGCCAGACTCCACACCCACATTTATCATACTTCTCGTCATTGCCATTAAATCAATTTCCTTTGTGGGAATGGACAAGCCAGTCTGGAAGCTGCTTAATACACAAACTTGCTTTGCTTACTACTGTGCTTCTGGAGAACAAAGACTGTGTTCCACTCCTCTGTATCTTCTATCCAGCACTCAGCACAGTACCCTTCATTGACTAGTTGTTGCATTTCTCTGATAGGGCAGACATAAAAGAGTTCTTCAGTAAAAACCTCACTATTCAGACGATTAATATCTCATATAACTCTAGAGAATTCTCCCCTGAGCCTCCTCCAGAACGTTCTCATTCTTATAAGAAGACAATCTCTCTGTATATTACAGTTGGGAATAATTCTTCTTCTGCTTGTCTGCTGGGCAAAGGAAATAAATTGATTAATGCATTTTAACTAAGAAAACAAGAACTCACCATTATCTGCATAGTTTACAACACTCAGTTCTTCAATACTATCAGGAGAAATTATAACTGGGTGAAAGACACCTTTAAATTTCATGTCAGGCCCTAAAGGATTAGAAAAAAATAAAATTTGAAACTGTGATTAAAAGTGATATCTTTAAACATATAAAAATTATATATCTTTCTATTGGTCTGTTCATGGCCCAATCACACACACAGAGAATGGCCAAATGGACTTTCACTAGCCTTAGGGGACTCTTTGGACTTGTCAGCTTTACAACTTGCCTGACAAGTCCAAGACAACTTGTGGCTTACTCAAAATTCTCTTTGGAAAGACTCTAGAAGACTCCTCAAAGAAGTAGGCGTCAAACTGAGTTTATAATGAACACAACAGAAAGACCCTATAACTGTAGCTTAGGAAAATTATATCATGCCTATCGAGACACCCCCACCAAGAGAGGAAACAAAGAGCAATTTCAAACATGAGCCCAGCTCCGTCTCCACACGGAAACCAGGACAGCTGTCACTGGAACTGCTGTTTCTGAGCTGTGATGGAGCAGCCTCCTGGGGTCACTCTGCACACTGCTCTGATTAGGGGCAACAGGAATTCACTCATGTAATGGGAGCTGTGAAAGTCTCCTGAGCAATGTCAGTGTCTTGAGGAAGTCAAGTCTAAACGGTTGACAGTGCTATTTCTGACTGCTTTTCCTGGGAACATGCATATGTGAGGTTCTTTCCCCCAAAGGCCTTTTCCTCAGTTTTCTCCTAAGAGGTCCCTGGGGTTCCACATACCCACAGAGGTGTTCCCCATGACAACAGGGGCCTGGGGATACTTGACTTTAGCTTCTAGAAGTTCCTTCAGGGTCACTGGAGAAATCCATGTCATTCTATCTCCACTAAAAACCCTGGTCATTTGTGGTTGTTTCTCAGCCATTATCTATGGAAAAAGCAAGAGGGATTCAAGATCATCTCGTGACAACATTGCCACCTGTTTCTGCTCTATCTTCGTGGGAACATAAAATGGAAATGGAGACCTTTTGAAAACAATAAAATAAAAGTGACAAAAGTAGAGCTTTTTGGAATCAGAGTTCAAATTCAAAGTACGACAACATTTGACTCCTTCTGGAGACTGTTCTCATGCATCTCCCTTTGGTGTTTTTATACCTCAAAGGAATTCATTTCAACGTTTAAAAATATCTTAACATGCTTAATTTTGTCAAATCATTCTGTGGAAGAATAAACTTCAGCAAAACTGGAAGTAGAAAACATGTCTATAGCTACAAATGTTGTGGTGTCATCATGACATTTTTTACAGATACTATCTGCTGATTCTTACAGTCAATTGTCCCCGCGTGGTGACTCCACCCTCATTCCCCCATCTCCGCCTCGGTCCCATCCTCTAGAACTTGGGCCAAGGATGGCAGATGAATATTACCTACTTGCCCGTCAGCTTTGGGAGGATCCATAAGTAAATACCCTTCCTGGCATTTCACCATGAGTTCCTCCAGGACGAGCTCAGCTTTCCTTACCATTAACTCTGGAGGAAATATCAGTTCCTGAGTTGGGTCCAATGGCAGAAACTCGTCTTCTGGGAAGAGGTTTGGACTTGTCTTAAAAAGAGAAAGAACCAGAAGTTATTGTTATCAGGCAACTCTAACTACTTTAAATCCTTTGTGGAATGTCAGAAGAAGACAGACATACAGCAGACAGACAAAAAGGCAGCCGGCCAGCCACAACCCCTGGATTCTAGGTCAAGGGCTCTAACACGGACCTGGTCACTGGCAGCTCAGTGCCGACGTCAATGGTCCTCCACAGCCCTCAGTCCCCTGTACTCCCCTCTGCAGTCTGGGAAAGCAGAGGAGGCAGCAGCAGCACCAGACACTGCTGAGAACCAGAATGTTTCCCTGAACAGCCACCTCTCCTATCACGACTCCCTCTGCCTGCTCTTGCATTTCCCCACCATCTCCACTTTGCTTCTGGCCCTTGAAAAAAGACTTGAAAAGGGCTTTTTTTAAAACTAAGAGACAGGAAGGGATCAATGTGTTTTCTCTCCTATAGATAGCTGTACTTGACCTCGAACGAAGGATGAAGTTGTTAGGACAGATTTTCCTTTGATGGAGGTGGGTGAGAATGGGAAGGGGACATGTTGGCGCACCTCACATTCGTCAACTTGGGCAGCCACTTTCTCTTCCTAGAAGTCAGCTGGTCTGTGCTCATGTCCTGAGAAAGCCTCATAAAAACCTTACACTTCACTGACCTCGTTCTCTTCCTCGAATCCTGGTACTCCATTTACTCCTTGATCCAAACAGCAGACCCCATTTTCTTTACTCTGACAGCAGCCGGAAGTCTAGAGGGTAAAAAAACAAATAACCCAGAATTTATTGCTGATTCTACCAAGTATTTTTTCAGCTTTGTTGAGGTATAATTGACAAATAAAATTGTATAAAGTGTACAATGTGATTATTTGATATATGTATATTTTGTTAAATAATTACCACAATTATGTTAACACATCCATCACCTCACATAGTTACCATTTGTGTGGGTGTGTATGGTGAGAACACTTAAGGTCTATTCTCTTAGCAAATTTCAACTACACAACACAGTATTATTAACTACAGTCACCATCACCATGCTGTAAATTAGATCCCCAGAGCTTATTCATCTTATAACTTAAGGTTTGTACCCTTGGACCAGCATCTTCCCATCCTCCCCAGCCCCCGGCCCCTGGTAACTACCATTATACCCTCTGTTTTTGTGAGTTCAACTTTTTTTTTCTCTTTTACATTCCACATATAAGTGAGGTCATACAGTATTTGTCTTTCTCTATCTGGCTAATTTCACTTAGGATAATGTCCTCTAGGTTCATCCATGTTGTTGCAAATGGCAAGATTTCCTACTTTCTCAGGGCTGAATAATATACACACATAAATATATATATATAAGTATACATATATGTGTGTGTGTGTACACACACACATATATATATGTACACACACACACACACACCTTTACCCATCCATCTCTTGATGGACACAAGTTATTTCCATATCTTGGCTATTGTGAATAATACTGCAATGAAGATGGCTCTTCGAGATCCTGATTTCATTTCTTTCTGATGTATACCCAGAAATGGGATTGCTGGATCCGAAGGTGGTTTTATTTTTGATTTTTTGAGGAACCTCCATACTGTTTTCCATAGAGGCTGTGCCAATTTACATTCCCAAGAACAGTGCACAAGTGTAACCTTTTCTCCATATCCTGGACAACACTTGTCTTTTTAATAGCCATTCCAACATACCTTATTCCAACAGGTATAAGGTGATATCTCATTGTGGTTTTGATTTGCATTTCCCTGATGATTAGTGACTTTGAGCACCTTTTCAGGTACCTGTTCAGCATTTATTTGTCGTCTTTGGAAAAATGTCTATTCAGATCTTTGCCCATTATTTTATTTATTTATTTGTGAGGAAGACTGGCCCTGGGCTAAGATCCGTGCCCATGTTCCTCTACTTTATATGTGGGACGCCTGCCACAGCGTGGCTTGATAAGTGGTGCATAGGTCCGCCTCCATGATCCAAACCTATGAACCCCGGGCCGCTGAAGTGGAGCACGCAAACTTAACCACTACGCCATGGGGCTGGACCCTTTGTCCATTTTTTAATCAAGTTATTTGTTTTTGCTGTTGAGATGCATGAGTTCCTTATATAAATTGGATATTAGCCCCTTATTGGATTTGTGGTTTGCGAATATTTTCTCCTGTTCCATAGGTTGCCTTTTCATTGTGTTGATGCTTCTTTTGCTGAGCAGAAGCTCTTCAGTTTGATTTTGTCCCACTTGTTTATTTTTCCTTTTGTTGCTTGTGCTTTTTGTGTCATATCCAAAAAAAATCATCATGAAGACTGATGTCAAGGAGTTCTTTCCCCGTGCTTTGTTCTAGGAGTTTTAAGTCTTTAATCCATTTTGAGTTAATTTTTGTGAGTGGTGTGAGATGACAGCCTAATTGCATTCTTTTGCATGTGCACATTCAGTTTTCCCTAAACAATTTATTGAAAAGACTGTCCTTTCCCCACTGTGTGTTCTTGGCTCCTTTGTCAAATATTAGTTGACTGTATATGCCTGGGTTTATATCTGGGTTCTCTGTTCTGTTCCACTGGTCTATGGGTCTGTTTTTATGCCAGTGCCACACTGTTTTGATTAGTATAGCTTTGTAATATAGTTTCAAATCAGAAAGTGTGATGCCTCCAGCTTTGTTCTTCCTCAAGATTGCCCTGGCTATTCAGGGTCTTTTTGGTTCTATACGAATTTTAGGATTGTTTTTTCTATTTCTGTGAGAAATGCCAATGGAATTTTGTTAGGGATTGCATGAATCTGTAGACGACTTTGGGTAGTTTGGACAGTTTAACAATATTAATTCTTCTGATCCATGAGCATGGGATATCTTTCCATTTATTTGTGTTTTCCTCAGTTTCTTTCATGAATGTCTTATAGTTTTCAGCGTACAGGTCTTTCACTCCTTGGTTAAGTTTATTCCTAAATATTTTATTGTTTTTGATGCTATTATAAATGGGATTGTTTTCTTAATTTCTCTTTCTAATAGTTTGTTGTTAGTGTATAGAGCACAACTGATTTTTGTACATTGATTTTGTAACATGCAACTTTACTGAATTTGTTGATTAGTTCTAACAATTTTTTTGGTGGCGTCTTTAGGGTTTTCTATATATAAGATCATGTCATCTGCAAACAGAGACAATTTTACTTCATCTTTTCCAATTTGGACATCTTTATTTCTGTTTCTTTCCTAATTACTTGACTAGGACTTCCAGTACCATGTTAAATAGAAATTGCAAGAATGAGCATCCTTGTCTTGTTCTTGATTTCGTTCACTGTATTCTTCAGTTCCAGAATTTCCATTTGATTCTTTTTTTATGATTTCTATCTCTCTGTTAAACTTCTCATTTAGTTCATGAATTGTTTTCCTGATTTTGTGGAATTGTCTTTCTGTGTTTTCTTGTAGCTCGTGGTTAGTAGGATACATGTCCCTCTGATGTCCTCTGAGTGCCCAGTCAGCTCTTCTCCTAGTGCTTCCCTGCGCCCCAGTCGTGTAGCACTCCTCGGTGTTCCGAATGGGGCGAGAAAGAAGTGGGCCTCTTTGGCAGTGCCTCACACAGCCGGTGAAGCTGGGTGCTCACTCACACACTCTCAAATCCCTCCTTGGGAGCAATCACTGGCAGAGGAGGTCTCTCTGGGCAGTGAGCTGTGCACCTTGGGGGAGGGATGACGC